GGCTAACATTGATGGTTATAATTGATAGATATTGACTCAACCTTGTCATGATGTTTTACTGTTGTTGGCTCTTTTATTTTTTTATTTTTTCTCCCTTTCCTTTTAGTTTCTTGCCTTGCCTGGTGGCTTCCCTCTGTTGGGCCTCATGGAGTTGTGACCTTTGTTGCTTTTTTCTAGGATATTGTTTGGAATTGTTTGGCGTGCGGTTTTGGTGTTCATGAAATTTCTCAGGTGTTCTTTGTTGTAGAAGTATCTAATTTCCCCATTAATTTTGAAAGATAATTTTGCAGGATACAACAGTTTAGGTTGAAAGTTATTTTCTTTTAGGGCTTGAAATACTGCACTACTTGAGGGTTTGTATTGAGATGTCCTCTGTGATTCTGATGGGCTTTCCTTTATAGGTGATTTGTTTCTTTTCTCTAACTGCTTGTAGGATTTTGTTCTTCTGTTGGATTTCTGGGTCTTGACTGTTATATGTATATGTGTAGATTTTTTTTGATCATGGCTAGTTGGAGTTCTATATGCTTCACTTATCTATATGTCCAATTCTCTACCTCTGTCTGGGAAGTTTTCTACTATTACTTCTGTGAACAGTTTTTTTATGTCATTTGTACTTTCTCCTCCTTTTTCATGGACTCCTATCAGTGTTATGTTATTCTTCTTTGCATTGTCTAGCAGCTGCTGTATTGATTTCTCGTGGTCCCTTAGTACTTTTAAGAAATCTCTGTTTTCATGGTCACTAACCACAATCCTGTCTTCTGTATCTCATAGTCTATCTTCACATTCCCTTAATCTGCTGTGAATACTTTCAATGGAATTTTTAATCTCCTGGATATCTGTTTGAATCTGTTTCATGGATTCCATTTCTTTCTTATGTTGGGCGATCATGGTTTCCATTTCTTTCTTATGCTGGGCATTCATGGCTTCCAGCATGGTTCTGAGCTCATCTAATTTTTATCTGTTTCTGTTCAAGAGCCTCTAATCATGGCTTTCACTCTGCTCACCACCTCTGTAGTTCTCTGGGAGATTATTTCTGCTTTGAGTTTTTCTAGTGCCTCATTCATCTGTTTTGTTACTTCCTGTGCTATCACTTCAGCATGTCCAAGTGGTTGATTATCAGACTTTTCCACCTTATTTCCCCCTGAATTTGCCTTTGGTGGAGTGGAAGTCTGAGTCTGTCCCTTGCTTAAATGTCGTTTCATTTTTGTTTTTGGTTTTGTCTTTGGTTTAATTCCCGGGTTGATACTTCGAAATTGCTTATTGTAAGTATGTTTGTTGCTTGTATTTAGAACCCTTATGGAATGATTGCCTGTCAGAGGTTTCTTCCAGATATAGCTGGTCTTTAGGTTTTGAGTCTCTGATGACTCTGAGGCTATCTCATTTTCATTATACCAGGAAGGACAACTGATTATAGAGTAATCACAACACCTTAGCCCAAGTGATACTGTCAGCAACACCATAGCATCAAGCACAGCTTAGAAGAACTATTTGTTGTAGTTATTAATCTATCACCTTTAACTGTGTAAATTAAATCAGAATTCAGTACCAGCCCAACATGTGTTTATAGTGAATAAACTTCAATATAGCAACTTTACCCTTTGGAATGAGGAGTTAGAAGGAGTTGGGGAGGGAGGGATAGATAGGTAGAAGAATAGGGAAAGGTTAGCAATGAGGCCAGAGGACACAGGAAGATCACGCAAACTCTAAGAAACTGTTGAAGACAAGAGGGAAAAAAAAATTGAAAGAACAAAGACGAGAACAGAATAACTTAATAGCAGTAGGGAGGCTAGAAACTATATTTACTTTCCTTTAAAACTAATGACAATTGAGAGAAGGATAAAGAGAAGAAAAGAAAAGTAAAGAAGAAATCTGAATTAGGGCCAGAACAGGAACAAAAAGGGAGATGAAGAACAATGTGGGACAGTGAGAGAACGAGTGAAAGAAAAGAGAAAAGAAAGAAAAAAAAGAAGAGTAAAACAAAAATTTGAAAAGAGTAGAAAAATAAAAATTAAAAATAAGACCAAAAAAAATTTTTTTGTGAAAATAACAAAAAATAAAAATGAAGGGCCTCCTTCAGGGTATGTCTCTGCTGTCACAATAGACAACATGGGTAGCAGTGTGCAGATATAAGTCAGTGAGTCTCAGCAAGCCAGTAGCAGACCTGTGAGATTCAGGCAGATTTCTGGCTGCTAGTCCCAAGCTGAGCTCCCTGTCCTCCTGTAGGGTTGAACTCTTCGAGGTTCTACTGCAGTTTCCAGCTGCCCTTTCCCTGAAGATAATCCAGGTTCTGATGGGAGGTGATGATCCCTCCAATTTACCAAGTATGGTTGTCAGGTGTGCCTTTATTGCAGAGATTCTCTTCACTTTTCCATTGGGCTTCAGTTTTCATCAAGGAGCCTGGTAGAGCCCTCTTTCTCTTGTTCACTTCTGCTCTATCTTCTGGAGCTCAGGACAATGACCTTTATAACCCCCGTGCCTCTGTAGTGTGGAACCAGGTAGTGGCACAGCCAGGATGCCGGGGGTGGGGGGTGGGGTGGGTGTCCGGCTAAGCTGGTCTCTGGGAGCAGGGGCACGGGGACTGAGCGGGCCTCCACATGTTGGAGGTCCTCACTGTCTGCTGGCTGGTTGCTGCAGGGCAGGAGCAGGGATGGAGCAGGGCTCCACGAGGCCGAGGTGGGCTGGTAGCTGGGGGGCCATATTTTCTTGATTATGTAACTTTATAGGAAGCTTTGAAGCATGACGCATGTCGATTCGTTTTTCACTTGCAGATTCTTTACTCTTCACTAAATCATGTCAATGAGAGTTTGGTATCAGTTTTTAAAATTCTACAAAAAATAAAGTCTCTTGGGATTTTTATTGACATTATGCAACTGTTGATATGTTTGAGAAAAATTGATATCTTACTGAATCCCCCAATCCATGCATGTGATATATTTTTCCATTTATTTAGGTTTTTAAATTCTTAGCAATGTTTTGTAATTTCGGGGTTGGGTCTTGCAATCTTGTGTTCATTTTGTTCCTATGTATGGATTTTGGTTTTTAGATACAGTTGCAAAAGTATTATTTTTTAAATTTTATATCCTAATTTTTTGTGGCTAATACTGTATGTAGAAATGTAATTGACTTATTTGTATATTGATTTGGTATCGTATGACCTTGCTAAATTCACTTATTAGTGAAAAGAAAAAAAATGGAAACAAAGTATGTAAATAAGGAAGGGTGGAGGGGTGAAGGGCGCACAGGTAATGGGGAAAAAATAAGAACCAAGATACATCATGTACAGGTACAAGCACCCAATGATAAATGTAAATGTATAGTATACCTAA